TTCGGAGAATTGAATCCCTTTTCTAATGAATTATCGCAATAATGTACGCAGCAGGACAAATAATTTGAAATGCTGAATTTTGGCGGTCATAAAATTCCAAAGTGACAGTGATAGACATTCGGAATAATTAAAAAAAGCGGGCGGGACGACTATGGTGTTTCGTCACATTGTCAGGTGGTCAAACCAAATGAAACAAAATATTAAAAACCCCAACGGCTGTCAGTTTTGTGTCCGGACTCTTGTCTAAGGTATATACAGGGACTCTAGTATAAACCATTGTTCAATCCTTCCAGCATAAATTCCAACAGAACAATTGGTGACGTCACGACAAGAAAACCGCATCTATCAGTGCGCACTTTCTTCGATGGAATGAAAAACACGCCCTATATGATCAAACTACTCGAACCCCGAATTAGGGGCTTCTGTGAATCTGAGTTCTTGTTCCAAGTTAGCATTTTATCCCGGTTAACCCCAAGGATTAGTATACTCTCCTTGGGTTAACCCGTCAGACACTCTAGATATTTAGCCGTCATTGATTTTATCCACAGAACACAGATTAAGCAGAGAGTCAGAAACTACAGCCCAATGTCAGAACAGAATGTCACAGACTCATTTGCTTCATTTAAGATTTCATTTTTTTTATGGAATACTTGTGTTTTATTTTTCGAAATGATTGAAATGAACAAAATACCCTAATCGCTGGTAGCTGATAGGCATTTACTTGGAGATTGGAGAATTAACGGATGATGAAGACCTTTTGCAAATTGTGAATGGATTGTTACATCATGGTTACATCCCAGAAGACCTTCAGAAATAGACCCAGCCACTTTTGAAATATGGTCTGATATTGAGTTCAAATGTAGGTTATGGTTAGAAAAACGAACTGTGAGATTCTCAGAAGAAATTATGTCCAAGATTGAAAGTGAGTTTCATGCTGAAATATCGGCAATTGTTATATAATTTTAATTCTTCAGGAACCATTTTCTCACACCTGATATAAAAGTGTTTGTAACATTGTGGTATATGGTATATGTCAACAGGATCCATTTTGCAAGTTACATGTGATTTCAATTGATTAATTCTACAGCAAGTTGTAGGCTAAGTGACAAGAACAATTGCTAGACCTAGTTGTACCTACACATTGAGCAGACCAGACAAGGTTTCTTTAATATTGGTAGATTTCCAAAATGTACTGGAGAGGTAGACTGTGGACCACAAGCTGAAAATTATCCTAATTGAAAGGGTTTGTTCTCTCTCAATGCACAAGCAGAGTGATGCTGAGCTGAAAATACTGAACCTTGTGTGCTGCTGGGCTAGAGCTACTCATGATGCTTATATTTTTTGGAAATTCTAATTTGAGAGCCAAGTTGGAAAATTGAGATGCTGCACCTCCAGATAATGAGGAAATGGAAGCTGTTGTAGATTTTGTGGACAATGGACATACACAAATATTCTGCCAACTTAATGTGAATAAATGCTGAAGATAAAATAAATATGTTCAATTTTTTATTATGGTTCCAATACTTACTACTTCAACATTCTATTTTCATATATTATTAGGAATTAGTAAAACATTGTAAAACCTGCAAATGTATGGATGATGTATCTCTTATACCTACATTAATTTATGATTGTTGACAATAAACATCTGAAATAAGTAAAAAAAAACCTGTGATGTATATACATTTTTAATTAAATTGAAAAGATACCACCTAAATACAAAAATAACATTATTTCAGTAATCTATTCTCTTCTTGAAGAATTGTCATGTTTATTTCATATGTTCTTCTTTTCAGAATTTTATTTTATCCACAATCTCTGCTCTCTGTAGATTCCATCATTTCTGTTCATGGTTTTACTTGCAAATGCTTGAGTTTGAGCTGATGATCTTCTATAAAAGCAGCCTTCTAAATTTCAGCAAGTTCTATTTTTGTAGCACTCCATATTATCAACTTGCTATTCAGGGGGTTTCTGTTCTTCTTGGAAGTGTCGCCATTCTCTACAATGAGAATATAGATGTAAAGTAACAAATTGATAAGCAAAGATATCATTTAAAAGTGATTAGTCAAGTAACAGAGACTTTAACAATAAATGTGCAAGAGTAGGTATATTTTCCTCACCTTTGTCATTACTAGACCCTTTATTTACTGGTACCTTCCAGCTCTGAGTGGTGATGAAATTTGTTTTTTCAACATATCAGGGGTGTACATAGACCAGACCATATCTAATTTTTTGTCTGAGAACATTCTTCAACTGATTAATCAACAACTGAAAAGAATATGATTCATATTATGTTTCTTTTTTACTTTCTCACATTTCATAGGAACAGTACCTTCTGCTGTTCTAGTGAATTCAGACAGAGAATACAATATTTCAAATGTTTATTCGTCTATAGAATGTAAAACCATAACTTCTATCCCATCATGCTTCTATCAGTCTTCTATCCTTGCTTCTTTTGCTCCCATTTTCAACACCAGGATGGTATCAGCACTAGGCAGCAGACATTAGTTCTGATTGTTCAATCAACTTCTAATCTACCATTGTCATCTCATTCAAACATTTTTGATTATCATCGAACAACTTTCGTCATTATGTACAAAGCCTCAATGTTTCCAACAGTAGTCAAAGTGTACCTAGTTTGTTTATGACTTATGACCATAAACAAAAGAGAGTAATTTATCTATGCTTATGACATTTATGAGTTACGAGTCGAACAGTCGAACCACATCGAACTTTTGAATTGAAGGGAGGAAGGTGAAGCCACATAAAGGGAAGGGGGATCAGATGTGATCAAGGGGAAAGAGCAAAATATATTCCGTCTCCCAATTGGTCACATGAATCACATGATATCGTAATCACGAACGTTGCACGCATGTGCGAGCTCATAGAAATTATACAAATACACTTGGCAACACAGCAGACCCAGAAAAAATTATCACATTTTTATATGCAGCACAGAAGGGACATGGGAGATATTTTTTTAAAATTATTTTTCACATTTTTATAACAGCACTGGAGGGACATGAAGAAATATAATTTTGTTTTTATCTCATTATAATGAGATAGCTAACTCATTATATTGAGATAAAAAAATATCTCCCTCATTTTTATGCTAAGAAAATGTAGGAGATATTTTTTTAAAAAATATCTCACCATGGCCCTTCAGAGCTTTCGTAATTAAGTAATCTCAATGGCAGTCTTGAAAACACCTAATACATTAAAATTTGGAACCGAATCGATTTTTTATCGTTTCCTCAAAAACGAAACTACAAATATTACAAAAAGGTTAAAAAAGTTGTTATTTCAATATGATGAAAATATATATCAGAAAAACTGCTGGTGTACAATGACATTCACCATAAATATCGATAAATTCACCCACTGTGACGCCACTGGAAATATTATTTCGAATCTATTTGCACCAGAAGAAGCAACATATTACTATTAACAAATCAACAAAATTGTATTGATATTGAAGCTTCCTTGAACGAATTGGAGATCATGAAATTTCCGAATTTTTATTTTTCGAAATGATGGCTGAGATAATTCATCGGAACAGGTATACTGGGACACCCGGTATAATAAATAGGAACTAATAGTGTAAATGAACAAGAAAAATACTAAACAAATAAAAAAATTAAAAATCGGACATGAAATGAAATATACATGTATACGAAATTTCGTTTACAAAAAATTATCATCTCGGGCCCTCTTTCATTTCTGGGCCCTCTTTCATTTCTGAGCTCAAGTGTATACAGTGTGGTCATTTAAGTGTGCAACATATGGGAATCTTTTTAAAGAATTGCACAACCAAAATACAGATGATGCCGAAAGTTGGTGCATGTTCGGTAATAATTTCAGGTGCACTTAGAATGGTTGCAATTCAAACAGCATACAGGGTAGGTCAAAAAATATAAAAATTGCTCAAGAGTAAAGTACCCTTATTTCATAAAATTCAGCAAAATGTTATTGGAAAAAGTTGTTAACAATTGGAACTTATGCCTAAATACCAAAACATGGCCTCCTAATATATTTTTTAGTTTTTCAATTTTGTTCGTTAATAATTTCCCAATTTGTAATATTTTGAATACAAGATGTTCACATTGAATGGAAGTTTTTGAATATGCATATTATCATAAATGATGTTTTACCTTGTTAAAAATATGGTTTGCGAAATTTTGAAGTTGAGCTGAATATCGTTGCAACAAACATAAAGTTTGTGATTCCCTAAAAAAATTGAAATCCATGTTAATTGCAGAAATATGCTTGAATTTGAACAAAAGTATGCTCAACTAATTTTGTTATGATTAACTCATGGAAGTATTCAGGGTGAATATAAAAAAATTACAATTTAGGAAATTATTCACGAACAAAATTGAAAAACTAAAAGATATCTTAGAAGGCCATGTTTTGGTATTGAGACATAACTTTTAATTGTGAATAACTTTTCTCAATAACATTTTGCTGAATTTTTAGAAATAAGGGTACTTTAGTCTTGAGCAATTTTTATATTTTTTGACCTACCCTGTATGCTGTGTGACTTACAACCATTCTAAGTGCACCTAAAATGATTACCGAACATGCACCAACTTTCGGCACTATCTGTATTTTGCTTGTGCAATTCATTAAAAAGATTCCCATATGTTGCACACTTAAATAACCACACTGTATACACTTTTCTTACTATTCTTATATATATATATGTATGTATGTTTGTATGTAAACTTTCTTGAAATTCAAAAATATATACAGCAATCAATTTGAAAAAATGTAATATTTGCCATGTAGCGAAAGATACGTAACTCCGACCGAGTAGGCTATTTCTCATCTTTTCGTCGAATTTCGAAATGAATTATTTTTCAAAGTTTTTTCCATACGAAGCCAACTTTATGAGAGACACTGTATACCTATTAGTGGAATCTATTTTCATGTGGACGTGCCGAGCGGACTTTTTCCTTATATAGTTCTACCTGTTTCACGTTGGCGCCACGCAAACACACCTCTGCGTCTTACGAAGAGAGAATCGCCAAAGGCCGAAAAAAATCCATAGCCAGGGCTGATCTTCCTTTACGTGGTCGGTGCCACCGCTCGTCGACTGTCTTTCACCGCCCCTTTTCGCTTTTCCTTTGACGGGCCTGCCAAGGACGATGCCGTCAGGAAAGAAGTTCCACAAGGGTCTGTTCTGGGGCCGATTTTCTTTCTGATCTATGTTGGCGATACTATTTGTTTTGTAACTGAAGCATACACTATACTGAACGGGTTAGATATCATTCAAGAGGAGCACTAGTAAAGTTATTGCAAATTTCAGCTACCTATTTGGTATACGCCTCAAGTCATCATATAGTGTGTTCATTCAATCGTAATAATATTTATTTTTGTAGAACAAATTCCGGTTCCGACAGATTGGCATAATTTTCGTTGGATATTTATGTTTTTCAGAAAATATCTGTTCAGGAACATCTTTGAACAAAATGGCGCTCTTCAATAAATGAGTGTTGCCATCTCGAATGAGTCGAGAAATTGTTATAGGTTGAAAAATGAAAAAAAAACATTTTTTGAATTCCTCATTTGGTAGATGAATGAAAAAGAAAATATTAACAACTTCATCATATACATTTTTTCGAAATTCCATAGCATATGAGATGATCTTCCTTCACAACTTCGGTGACACCGCTTGTCGGCTGTCTTCTACTTACTGCCCTTTTTCGCTTTTCCTTTGACGGACCTGCCAAGGAAGATGAAGTTAGGAAAAATGTTCCACAAGGGTCTGTTCTGGGGTCGATATTCTTTCTGATCTATGTTGGCGATATACTATTTGTTTTGTAACTGAAGCATAGACTACTGAACGGGTTAGATATCATTCAACAGTAGCATTAGTAACGTTATTGCAAATTTCAGCTACCTATTTGGTATACGCTTCAAGTCATATATATAGTGTGTTCAATCAATCGTACCTGCCAAGGAAGATGAAGTTAGGAAAAATGTTCACAAGGGTCTGTTCTGGGGCCGATATTCTTCTGATCTATATTGGCGATTCTATTTGTTTCGTCTCTGTATCTTAAACTACTGGACGGGTTATAAATGTCGTTCAAGAGTATCATTACAGTATATAACGTTATTGCGAATTTCAACTATTCAATATACGCTTCAAGACATGCATATAGTGTTTTCAATCAATCGTATTATTGATATAGTAAGTTGAAGAACCAAATTCGTTTTTGGCAGATGGGCATGATTTTCTCTAGAAATTTGTACTGTTTTGCAAATATATATTGAACAAAATGATAGAAATATAATTTCTGCAATCGACCGTTAATGGCATTTGAAGCAGTTCTGTGATTCTATTAGATTTTTTTTCTAATTTTGGCATATAATATATCCCTTCCTTCTAAATATACAACGTGCAAATTATACCGAGACACTATACTTTTTCTACGGCTATAATAGATAACAGCGGCATTTTCGGTTTCTTCATCTTGTAGCCATCTGATTTCCTGTCAAGTAATGCACATCTATTAGAAGAGCTGTCATCGCCTAAGATTTGATATTCCATGGGCGATGAATTTTTTTTAAATAATAACACAATGGAGTCATTGTGATATATCAGATACGGAAATAAAATTGATAACATACAAAGTACTTTATAAAACAAGAGCAATCTTGTGTTATAGCCGTATAGAAAAAAAAACGATTCATCACAGAATGTCGGTTCTTCGCTTCGCGGGTCGATCCAAAATTCAATATTAGAATTATATACAGCAGCATGAATGCAATTGCCTATATAATTCCATCAGAGCTATTGAATGTAATATCATCTAGTTGAGATGAGGAAATATAATTACTGCTCACCACGTCCTTCAGTGTACTTGTCGAACAATTCATTGAAGAAGATAATAAGGAAGCGACAGTTGAATGTGATTAAGGTGCCTACGTCACTCTTAATAATTCATTCTGTGTATACCAACCACCTACTTATGCACTGCCTTTTCGGATCAAGTTCATGTATACCTACAAAAAATGAAGACGAACAAATTTTTTGCGGGAAATACAGGGTGCGGCACCAAAAACGAAACAGATCAATGAACGAATGTTTCAAGATATATCATGTGTTGTTGAAAAAAATCAATAAAACGTCGATTTCTAATCCAAGGAGCACATGTTTCTATCAGAACTCATAACTGTCATACCAACCTTTCATCCCACCGCTTGACCGCTTTGCGATTTTACGAATAATTAATATTACGATGCCATTCAAGAGAATAGAAGACGTGAGTCATATAGACAGAGAAAAAAAGTGCATCATTTTGAATTTTCATCACAGTGTTGCAGTTCCATTACTTTTCATGAATGACACCTGTTTTAATCACATCAAAGAATTTTCAAGTTTCATTAACATTGATAAGTGTAGTGAATATGCATGAGAAAGTATGACCATACATTTGTATCACCCCCTTTATCTCCGAAGTCGTTAAAAAAATGAAAAATCAATCGGACAGGTCGATTTAAATTTGGCCGGGACAAATTTTTCTGTAACTACTATATATATCCCAAAGTTGAAACCTTGAAGCGGAAAGGGCATCAACTTTCGATTTTCAAAAGGAACACCCTGAATTTCATTGCATCTTTAGATTCTTCCTGAAAAGCTGATTCCATCAATGCATCACACTTGGGGTCTAGCGGGAATGATTACAGAAATATAGGGTGTTCAAAATCGAGATTTTTCAATTTTAGGATTTTTTTGTGTCGAAACTATTCGTTATCTGTCAAAGCGGCTTTCATGGCCCAAACTTAACTTTTGATTCACTATGTACTGACATTTAATTGGAACATATACAGGGTGATCAGGATCCTGAATCTTGAAACTCGCGATGAATATGCTATCGAATGGTACAAATAAAAAAAATATATAGAAAATCACATTGTAGCACCTCTCTTCAAATTTTCTTGTGGAAGTCACAATCACGTGGAGTTCAATCATTTAAATTGGAAAACTCGTTTTTCTTTTTCGTTTCTGTTTTCAAATTTCTCGTTAATCAGAAGAATGAAAAAAAATCTGATATTTTGTGAATATTCGTTATGTCGATGTGCTCAATATATGTACCGGGTGTAAACTTTGATAAATAATATATTCCGTTGGCGAAAAGCTATCATGTTGCGGTTTCAGTTGGTCTGTTGAGATTTAGTTTCAAACTTGTATAATTATTCGTTGCTGAGATATGGCCGACAGCCGTTATCAGTTGTTCTCCCGGTACTTATTTAGAAAACACTCGGTATATCATGTGCTCGCCCTGTATATCGGTTCGATCAGAACCTTCCTGGCGTCGATTCTATTATACCAATATGTAGTTAAGTAGCTACCGGGCTTAGATGCCGTGTCATCATCAGACCGGGATCATTAAAGAGAATGACTCGGTGGTATATAGCCAGTATAGGAATGAATCTACATCTCTTGTCACCTAGTCGCTACCTGTCGATGACTTTCAGCACCTTTCACGAGATTACGGTGCATGATTAATGGAAAAAATATCAGAGAGAATGGTGTTCTTTGACTCTGTGACTATACGACCTGTTTTGCCTGCCCTATATGTGGCATATATAAGGACCTTACAACCATGTAGCAAAGAGGGATTTTTGATAGGAAGGAAGGAAGGAAGGAAGGACCCGCATACAGGGTGATTCATTAAAAATCGTAAATCTCTGAACTACAGATATAGTAAACACAAAAATATGATGAGATTCAGCCCAATATGCCTGATGAGAATGTTGCTGGTTCAGGAGTTACAGGGTGTTCTAGGAGGAGATTTTATTTCAAAATTTCACAATAACTTTGTTTGTTTTAACAGCATAAACGTGAAATCTTGTATATTCCTAGGTTTTCTGACATTAGGAATATGAATTTGCAACTTTGTGATTGCTCATAGAGTAAGCTAGTTCTGTTACCTCGATAATTTACATCATATCTTCGATGTCAATTAATTGATGATCAAAATAAGTGGAAAATCTGAAAGCTCTTTCAATTTCACATGAAAAATGTACTCATTATCAAACTGTCTAGCTTCAACGGTTTTTGTGTTATTCGTTCTTGAAGAGATTCATTTTCCACTCACGACATTTTAATAATTTTATTCATTAAATTGAGAATTTGAAATCTCTGAACTACAGATACTTAAACACCCAAATATAAAGATTTAGCCCAACATGCCTCATAAAAATATATTGCTGGTTTAAGAGATACAGGGTGGTTGAGGAGAAGATATTTTGAAAGAAAATCTTCTCCTTAACCACCCTGTATCTGTATAGATTTCTATAGTGAAATAAATGTTGAGCGTTTTGGGGCAAATCATCTTCGTCCTTACACGAGTAAATATATTGAATTGACACTAATATTTTTATTAATATAGACACGAATTATGGTGCTATAATCAGGGATTATAAATCATCAAATTTTAATCTGAGATACCCTTCATATATACATTGTTTCGTTCATTTTTCCCTTTTTACTATTTGCTTCTTCATATGCTAATGTTTTTTTTATTTGCCGCCATATCAAAAATATTGTTCAATTTTTTGATGATGAACTTTTTTCATTCAAATGTCGTGATAAAATCGACCTAGAATTTCAGAAAGTTTCATCCGTTCATCAAAATCACTGTCCTACGTCATGTTTCTCGTCGAAATGTGAAGTAAACAGTGTAAATAAATAATATTTTTCTTATTTTCAGGAAGAAATCGGACATCCTTTCTACTGGCACACACTTTGGACATATGGCATGAACTTCCCTGGGGTGCTTCGAAGAACACCGGTCCTAACGAATCGCGTCATTCCATCGTAATTGATTTTCGTATGGACCCAGGCAACAAGAAACGGTCCTCTAATTGAGATTTAAGTATCTCTTACACAGCCCATACGTCTTCATGGAACTTTTATGATAAATTAATATTTAACCGGGTCTAATTGCCGAATAATGGCCCTGTTAACATTCGTTGATAACCATGAAAGCGATCCGGCTTGATGATATCCGAAAAGAGTAAAGTCATCCTTCAATAATTTATCAAATTTGAGTGCGACTATAGGGATCTTCATGGCTCAACTAAGCCAAAATTATTGTTCACCTGTCAACTTATGTATAGCAGAGAAGTGTCGGAATTGGGAACAAAAATTAAATGATGGGTATTGAAATGGGAAAAAAATGCATATTTGTATCCACGCAAAATGAAGGTTCAGTGCAAATCAATCAATCAACTTTATTATTCCAAAGAAACAACATTTGTTTATAGCAGGGAACATGGTGAACACATGAATATATTTGACAAAATAAAATAAAGAAGACAGTATATAAAATAAGACTCACACTCAAGAAGAATATTTTTTTTTCAAGTTCAACTGCAAATGATTCTCAATTGACTCAGCTGTTAGGTACCCAATAGAAAACTATAGTAGTTGTACAAGAAAACTATAAAAATGAGATAAGATGTCAATATTACAGGAGTAGATGTGTCTTGAATTCTTTTTTTAATTATTCAAGTTATTTGGTAGTGAATTGTATTGTATCATTCCATTGTGATAGATGGATTTTTTACCATTATCTGATTCAATTTTCTTGACAGAAAAATGATCTGCTTGTCTAGTTGTATGGTTGTGGTGATTACTATCAATTTGGAAAACCAAATTTGAATGCTTTTGACAATGTTTTACTGAATGAATAAACGACATTAATTTGAATTTATATAATCGTATTGAAAAGGAATATTCTCAGATATAATTATGAACATAAAAAAATGAATATTTATGTAAAGAAATACATTGAGAATTCGCATTCTCTATGTGATGAAAATATCAATTCTTTTTCGGTTAATTCAACAGAAAACAGCTACTTTCCTGGCTATTTGCCACGTCGAACATTAAATTATATCTGTTGATCCAAAAAGAGAGCATAAAAAATGAAAATCCTCTGAAATTAAAGAATTGACATCATCTCTCAAATCGGATAAAATAAAATGATCTATTATTATATAAAAATAGAACTTAATACCAATATGTTCAGTATTGAAATGGAAATTGAAATGTATATGAGAAGTATACTTGCATGATGAATAAACTCTGATCTTGCATGATGAACTTGTAACTCCCAAAAAAAAATCATTCATATCAGTGATATATAGAAATTATATCTCTCACAAACAGTTTATATGACTTTACTCGAATAAATTCATTTCGGATATCAAATCCTCAGTCAGTAACCTGAAGACCAGTTATTCTTTCAGCAATTCTTCATCATGATATACACAATTTTCATCTCCCTATATAATATAACTAAAACTATAACGAACTGACATCTGAGAATTATGATTTGTTGACATACTCCTGTCATCTGGGCATTTGTTTTTGGATGTATAATAAATTGATAGCTATTCATTATACAAGGCGTGGAAATGAATTCTGAATTCGAAAAACCAAAGTAGGTATGGAGTTAGTTGCTAGTAGATTGTTTTGTTTTCCTATATAAAGGGTGATTTGATCTCATTATATTGGAGAGCTTTTTTGCACCCATCAATTCCACAATTAATTTTTTTTTGTACATAATAATTGTATATGTTAGGTAAGTAATCAAGATATCTGCTGGCGTGTAAGCTTAGGGATACCCAGTATCCTCACTCAATAAGTAAAGTGATAATGAGTGAGTGAGTGAGTGGTGGTGAATAATAATGTATATATAGGGTGCAGTAAATGTTTAGCTGTCTGTTCAGCATCAGAATTCTTTTTTGCTGGTACCACTGAATATAATAGTAAAACTCCTGTAAATCATTGATTAGATGTTGATTGCCGAACCCAAGCGTTACCTTTCGGCCAGGACAGAAGCACCTTGAGTATCAATGTCTTCTGATGCCATTTTGCCACGTTTTATGTGATTTATCATGTCGTTATATCTCCTATCGGTTCAATTGAAGAGGCACCCTGTATATACCGTGGAAAGGATCGTTTTCCAAACCCATATCGTGATTGTGTGTCACACATGACGGTTCATACTTATTAAATAATGAAAATATGACGATCGGAAGATGACAAAAGAGTGTGCCTTCTGCCGTGATTGCATCAATTGTTTTGCCGTAAATGATTGTCGATTGTTTGTTATTTGGTATGTGGCCTCGACTCCTCGTTCAATATGAAACAATTTTCGTTCTTAGATTACGAGAAACTAGTTTTTTCATTTATATTCATGATTGCCAAATTATTTTTGCATGATTTATCTTGACAATTAGGACAACAAGGCAAACAACATTTTTCTTTGTTTAAAATCATATGATACACTCTCCGGTAAAAAAAACAGCCACCAAAAAATTTGCCCCAATTGTTCACCCTGTAACTTTTTTAATCCTTGTCTGATTTCTGTGAAACTTGAATCAAACCGTAGATTCATGTTCTGGGATGTTGGCCTGAATATTAGTATCCGCGAAAAGCTGATGATTTGATCATTATACAGGGAAAAACCAAAGTTACTATTTGTCCCTTTATTTCTTAATGCCCTGTAGCGAAATTGAGTGGTCGAACCTGGCATAATTTTGCTTTGGATTGAAATTTGATCCCTTCTTAACACAATATTTCTTGTTTCACGTCAATATCTTACTTTTAAGAGGACATACTGAACATACGATTGTTTTAAGAACGCATGCCATTTTTCAATTTTCATTAACATTAAGTTTTGATGTCACTCATTTCTACCTCATTTTCTCACCACTTACAGGGAAAATAACTTAAAAAAGAAGATATTGACTTGAATCTAGAACCATTTTGGAACGAAAAATGATCACAATTCAATTCAAAACAAGATGAAGCAGATGGTTGGAGAATGGTTCTGAATGATCTTTAATAAAAATAATAAAAATTCATACTTCCTTAAAACCCTTGTATCTTCTCGTAAAAAGTGGTTATCGACGTAAATCAAGAACCATTGTGTTAAGAAGGGATCATATACTTCTATCCAAAACATAATGAAACTATGCGTTCAACAACTCACCTTTTCCACGGGGTGCTAGAAAGCTAAGGATGAAAAAGTAACTTTTGTTTTTCCCTGTATAATGATCAAGCCGTCAGCTTTTCTCAGGACCTAATGTTCAGGCTAACATTCCTAATTATGAATATACGATTTTGTCGAAATTTCACCAGAATCGGACAAGAATTGAAAAAGTTACAGGCTGAACAATTTGTCAAAATTTGTTGGTGGCCGGGTTTTTTTGCCGGTGAGTATATATAATTTCCCTAATCACACTATACAGGGTGTTTTGTATGTGTGGACGCCCTTCGAGAGGTGATATAGTGCGTCTCAAAGAAATAAAAAAGTCCCCATGAACAAAAGTCGTATAGAAAGGCTTCGTTTGCCAGATACAGGCAGTACCGGATTTAGGGGAGGGCATCTGGGACAGCACCAAGGCCTCCACAATTGAGAAAAAAAAAATCTTTCGACTTTCGACGAGTGAACACTGGTAAACAACTTTTCCTTCAATATTTTCTAAGAATATAAGTTAAGTTCGTTGTTTTACCCTCAGTACTTTGTAGAAACATGATTATATTGTTCTTAAATATTGAAAAATAATTTAATTATATTTGTTCAGCAATAATATGTGACTGTACCAGATAAGTTGGTAAGTAATCTACTTATACCTACATTACCTACCTACTTATAACACAAACACATCATAGGTAGGTATTCATTCGTCCTACCTATATACAATATTGCTCATCTCCAGTAGGTATTGAAGGTAATAACAACAATCCAGAGTCATTCAAAACAAATGAATACGTGCCCCAGCGTAAGAATATAATCATATATTATTTTTATCCACTTACCCAATTTGCGAAATTACTATTTATCTTCCATTAGTTCATTATTCCATCGATTTAGACAACAACTATCCGGATCATTACAGTCAGCTTTAAGCGGACAGTAAGCGCCACCTATGAACCAATAGCTGAACTACGACCGCTACGCCATCTCTAACCCGAGGTTCGCGACTTGGATAAATACACCATTGCCCCTTCAACACACCATACTGAACCATATTCCGGCGTGCCGCAAGGCTCTGTTTCGGACCCCGTTCTGGTCCAGTGGTGTTACCGCCTTTTTTGCCCTTACCACCGACAGTCGCCATTAGCTCATGGTTTAATGGTAGGTTTACCATTGGTTCGACTCGGTATGGCCATGGGTGTTAGCATGGCACTGGGAAAAAATGGACCATGCATGGGTCTCTGTTCTGATGGGGTTTCACAGTTCGTCGGACCTACCATGTGAAGTTTGATTGATGTGTGTTCGAGAAGTGCGATGGTATTTTTTGCATTTTGGGCGTAGAAATGGAATACACGGAGAAAAAAGTTTTATTGCGCCACAAAACTATTTTGGTGTTTTTTTTCTTGATAAATTGAAAACAAATAAGCGACTTAATCGAAAAGACGAAATATTTCGATTGAATTATTTGCTTACTTGAACAAAGTTCCAGTTCATTCAACAACATTTCTATAGTTGTCATGGAACAGATTTTGTTGATTCAACTATTTTATTGTTCGGAGTTTCAACGAGGGAAATCATATATTTTTGTTTTAACAATAATTTCATTGTTCAATCAATGATATGCTTTTTTCTATTCGACAAAATTCAATTGATTTTGACAACATTATATACATACCTACTTCATACCTATATATTTTGTTGATTCAACATCCAGCTAAATTTCGTCAAGATCAAGTGGGTACTATTTTTGATCAATTCAATGCATTTTATTACATCGACAAATAAAAATGTATGTTTTGGAACTTCGATTTCAAGATATCTACATCAGGGTATAAAAGTGGTTAAAAAATAGTTTTTTCTGCAACTGAGACAAACATAGGTATGTTGCTATCTAGGCAACACTTTCAGTTCCTAGTTAAAGTTGAACTTTATTGAAATATATTGCTAGTGTTGAAAAAAATTTAATACAGGGTATGTCATGACGAGCTTACACTATCTTTATATCGAGAATCAATCCCGAGAAATCCATGGAAATGTGCATACTTATAGAATACGCTCTTTTCATTTGAAATATTTTCGACAATGCAGTGTTGCCGCTTCTGCTAGAAAGTAATAGCAACATTGATATTTCAAATGGAACACCCTGTATTTCATCGCATTTCCAGATTCTTCCTGAAGAGCTGATTTCATCGATGTATCACACTTTGGGTCTATCGAAAAATATAACAGAGATATAGGGTGTTCAAAATCGAGTTGTTTCAACATGAGGATTTTTTTCTGTCGAAACTATTCATTATTGGTCGAAACGGCTCACATGTCCCTATCTCAACTATCGATTCACTATTCATTCATATTTAATCGGAATAGATACAGGGTGCTTCAATATTCAGAACTCTGATCACCTCGGCTTAAGTCTGATATTCTTTGCTAATTTCGTGTACAAATAACTATATTCTTTCCATTTCTATAAGTTATATTGCCTATCAGTTTTCTTGATTGAGCTCTCTTTAAATGGCCAATAATGATAATTTCATAACAAATACTGTAGTGCAGCTATATTTTAATTAATCTATAAGCAAGCACATATTTTTCATATGAAATTGATAATATAATAATATAATAGGTATATCTCTTATATCATAGGTTCATAATACATATCTAATTAATATAGATATTTCAATGTCGAATAAACAAGATAATTATATTCATTGTGGGATCACATATACATCAGCTTCTGCACCAACTTGGGATGAATTTTTTTGGGAAGTTCTCGCTTGACCCGGACCTTCTCCCAATCGTACACGTTGGGGTCGTCCCCCATCATTTCCTCGAGTTTGGACAAGAACGATGGGTTGGAGAACAGCTCAGGGTCGTACTCGTATCTGTCGGCTATCTCGGCCCAAGTGGGGTCTGTAAAAATCAAGAATTTATGGAGAAAAATACATGTCTTTTTCTAACAAAGTGTATACTGTGCCCAAGATGAGGAGCCAGTAAAACATCTCCGAAACTGGAGCATTTTGCAATGCCCAATTCCCACGATGCCCAATACCAACGATTCCCAATTCCTACCATGCCCACCTTCCTTGGACTCCCACCATGTTCACTTTTCATACATTTCCACGATTTCCAATTCTGGTGGGCATGGTGGGAATTGGGCATCATGGGAATATATGGAAAGTGGGCATGGTGGGAATTGGGCATCGTGGGAATGTTTGAAAAGTAGGCATAGTAGGAATTGGGCATCGTGGGAATTGGGCATCGTGGGAATGTATGAAGAGTGAGCATGGTGGTAATCCAAGGAAGGTGGGCATGGTGGGAATCCAAGGAAGGTGGGCATGATGGGAATTGGGCATCGTAGGACTTGGGCTTCGTGGGAATCTATGAAAAGTGGGCATGGGGAGAATCTTATGTTTTCTGAATTTTTCTAATAACCTTGCAACGTTGCGCTCTTCGGCAATCTTCGTAATCGTCGACATGAAGGTGGGCATGGTGGGAATGGGACATCGTGGGAATTGGGCATCGTGCTACGCATTCCTCGGAAACTAAGAGAGATACCGAATTGGTTGAATAGGTGAAAAGTTGCGCGAGGAAAGGACCAACAAAATTACTTTCAAAAATCTCTGATATAACTTATAATTATTGCCAAAAAACGGAATAATGAAAATACATCTTCATGGTATTTTTCTTTTGATGATTCATTTTGTTGCTCCTTCACTCACACAATTTTCCTTTCATTCAACCAAATCTGTAACTCTTATATAGTTTCCGAAATTCCAATAATGGCCCTCCTTCTCTTGAGCTCAGTGATGTGCATAGGATTTTGAATAGGTATCCCCTTAAGCTCATTGTCGATCCCCTTAAGTCGTTATTCCAATTTCCCGCCGAGTATGTTTCAGATTGTTGATTTTTGACAGGGATGTTTGTCAAGCTCGAGATTTGCAGGAAAAAGTATGAAATGAGGAGGGAATATAAGAAATAGTTAGGTAAAGAGTTGAAGGTAATAGGGGCTAAGCTATGGATTATGTAAAAAATAGTTGCAGTTGTGAATGTAATAAAGTGTTATGTGCCCATAAATAATTATTTAAATATCTACCAATCCCTACGATTTCTATACTAACTAAATTGGAATACTATTCACTACTGATGGATATTTATCAAAAGTGGCGCACCCCAATAATATTTCAAATCGAACACCCGGTATATTTCTACTTATTTCAAGAGGAAATCATATTGTGAGTAGAATGACACTGTATTTGGCACTGTTTGACATTTATCATTCAAAACATGGAAGTAAGGGTCATTTCCGGTATAGAAACCCGAACTTCATTTGATTTTTTGTGGAAACAAAAATTATATATAGGAGTGAACTATACCTTCGAGAAACACCGAGGGTCCGTCCCTACCTCAAAATCTGTACCCAATAAAATTTAATATCTCCATCAAAATGGACAGAATGAGGAATTTTTGTCGTTTAGCTTTGAGACACTCTGTATAATATTTATTCTCGACATATTTTGGCCATTCATAAACGTTTCTGGATTTATTTTCTACGTATTTTTCGAATCTGTGCTCACTTTTTCTTTATTTCAACAAAATATAGGGTGGATTAAGCAGAAATATTTTTTTCGAATGAATTAAATGATTTTAATTTCATTCGATAATATTATATCATAATTCATACTGAATTCGAATTTTCTTCTGAGCCACCCTGTAATTTGTTGATAGAAAGAAAAAGTAAACACAGATTCAAAAAATTCGTGAAAAATTGATGTCTGAAAGTAGAGTGAAACTTACATTTGAAACCATTTTGCAGCATGTCCATATCGTGGGGGTGAGGATTCTGAAAAAAAAAAGATTCTCAAAAATGAAGTTTCTGTATAAGTACTCAACTACCTACCTATACACAGAGTGACATCGAAATAAATATACATATTATCCAAACCCTGAGAAGAAATAACATTTGGAACAACTTTTGATACAACAGATACTTCAGTTATAGTAGCTACTTCTATCAAACATTTTGCAAAAATCAAATAACGCTAGAACAAAATATGAAGATATATAGAAACACGATTCAAAACGCAGTATCGCTCCAGAATTTTACATAAAATTCAAAAATGCAATATCAATTCCATTCGAAATTGTCTATATATAGATTCTAGATAGATAAAATAGATCACAACGTACTGTTATGGGTGGAATCATATTTCTATATATACAATATAGTTCTCAATAAACCTCTGATGAATCAGTTAGGTGAATCACTCTGTATAGAAGCTATTGAGATTTTTTTATGCGCCCAGTGTGTTCGGAGGAAAACAAAATTATATTAGGATTATCATTTTCATTCACATATATATCTGTATATCAATAGATATACAGGGTCGCTGATATGTATGGAAACAGGTGCGAATATCTCTATAACCGTTTGTTAAATTTTTTTTATTTTATGTATAGGGTGATTTCAAAACGTGGCGAATATGAAAATGTTATCGCCAATGTAGCCACTTTTTCAGTTATTCCGGAATTCCTTATTTCCGATAGAACACCCTGTATTTTATTGAATTTCGAGATTCTCCCTGAAAAGATAATTTCATCGATTTATCACACTTAGCGTCTAGCGGTAATGATTACAGCTACAGTACATATATTATATGGGGGTGTTAAAAATCGAGATTTTTCAACTTTAAGATTTTTTGTGTTGAAACTAAATCGACTTACATGTCCCTGCCTTAACTTTCAATCTATTATCTACTGTTCTACTGACATTTAGTTGAAACAAATACAGGGTGGTTCAAGATTCAGAATTCTGTTGATCACTATCTGTATCTTTTCCAATGAAATGTCAGTAGATATAGTAAATCAAAAGTAAAGATACAGATAATAAAAGCATGTAAGTCGTTTCGACCAATTACGAATATTTTCGATATATCTGTGATCGATCATTCATGCTAGACTCTATACTTTTCATCAGGGAGAATCTGCAAATCCAATAAAATACAGAGTGTTCTATTCAAAATAAGGAAGTAAACAATAGTTCCAGAATAACTGGAAAAGTGGCAACATTAGCGATACCATTTTCGAATCCGCCACATTTTGAAATCACCCAGTACATATATATATTCAAGAAATCTAACAATTATGATCATTATTATTATTTATTTATTCAATATATTTATTGAAATCTGATTTTGGTCATTTTACTCACATCATTGCGACGTCCTATCCTAGGTACCGATTTGGAAGCTTTCATGAAGAATTTTTCGAAATCGGAAGTGTCCTGATTGCTTCTGCCGATTCTAGGTACACTTTTGGCAGCGGTCAAAAAAAAATTCGGTGTTCCTTGTTCGCCTGTCGACAAGTCTATGAAACAGAAAGCCGAGATCGTCAGGACACAAACACAGAGCAACATTGTGAAAAGCTGAAGTTTTTCACTGATATGGCGAAAACGGCGAATGAATCTAGTTTTATACAGGAAAATTAAGGTGATTGAAATTCAGGATGGATCCAACGCAGTGACATTGTCGAGTTTATGGTGGTTGTCGCGAAAAATAGGTTTTAATTCGAATTGTTCGACTATAATGGTACCCCTATATCATATAACGAGTTCACAGATATTCCTTATCATTACATCTGATATGTACAAATAATCATTAGTATTCTACTTCAGTAGCTATTCATTCTATTTAACCTCCTTGGGGTGCTCCTGAAAGGTCTGTACAAAATTTTAGGCCATATTACTGAGGTCAAAATAAGCAACTCACCTCAGTCCGAAATTGCTGCGTCCCCAAGAATCCCAAGATACAGGGTGATGAACATGAAAAATAAAAATGAACACGTATTTTGAAAAATCTTTTTTTTTCCCTGCTAATTCACTGACCGAATTACATCCAAGAAGATAACAGCAATATAGTAGATTGTTTTATTATTAGTAAAAAAAGTGATACTTTGTTTGACAAACGAATTTTTTCGAAACGAATTGATGAGCAAAAAGCCTCACAAACAACCCAATTTGGTAACAGAGGGAGATGCCAGAGTCGTACTACGAAATATACGAAAAAGCTTGGGAGGGATAAATAAGATGCCTCTACCCCCAAAAACATATAACCCCGTAGATATTTGAAATTTTCAAAATGCTTGAAATGCTGATTTCTTATTAAGTATTAACCACACCAAATTTCCAATTCATATCTCCAAAAGTGAGCGAGATATTTTAATAAGTAAATAGAAAAAAATATTGAAACTTTTGCCCCTCTTTGTATTGTGTGATAATTTTAATTATCACAATAACTATTTTTATTATAATCATTCATTTTACTTGATTACTTGGGATTTGCTCTAAAAAATGAAAATATGCGTATTATTTCAATATATTTGTAGTGGTATAAATCAGATGATTTGTCCCAAAATGTCACTGCGTTTAACAAATTTTTTTATCAGGGAGCTAGCCTAAAAGAAGAATCCAGTAGCTTGTCAGTGACATTTTTGTTTGGAAAGAATCATAAATATATTGAAAAAATATCGAATTTTTACTCATCTTTGGACGTTTCGGGAACGAATCTGCTCCCGTTCTCAACATCTCAACATGAAAATGCAACATATTTTTCTTTGGAAGTTGTGCTCTGCTCATAGTTTGACAATTCTCAGTGTCATATAGGTACCTACTGATTTTGGCATATGAATGAGCGATTTTAGTCTACAAATGAGTTACAGGATGTTTTCATTAATTGATCTTGAATCTACCGTTTTCACGATCAGTTTTCATGTTCAGAACGGGAACAGATTCGATCCCGAAACTACTTTTGATTTGTCCCACTACAAATATATTGAAATAATACGCATATTTTTATTTTATAGAAACGAGGATAGAAATTTCCAAAAAATCGAGTGAAATGAATGTACCACCACCTCGATTAACCTACAGACAGTATATTTTATAATCATTTATATTTTCCTGATTTTTCTAAAAGTATTTGGAAAAGTAATACATATAGCGCCATCAGCCGGCGAATGATTCAAAATGATCACCATTTATGTCATCCCTCGAGAAAAGACGAAAGAAAGGGATTGATTTTACCTAGCAGGTGTGATCTGTGCTGTATCAAGATTGGTAGACTTGATGATAATATGTCTACAAAATATTCATCAGCTCTACCAACCTTGTAATGTATCAGACATCGCGCCATCTAGCTTCAATGATTTTCTCTTCCCAACATAGAAGACATCTACGCTAATATAGTAGTAGCTTCTTTAAAAAACAGTAGATGTCCCATCTGTCAACAATAATTGAATTCACGTGCGTTTCGGCATTTCGGGATAGGACCTAATCGTTGATTGATATATTACGCTTTAATCATGGGGGATTGTCAGATGACAGAGAAAATATTTCTTAATTCTCAATTTTCATAACTGTGCTAATACCCAACACTGCAAGGAGTCAGAAAGCCAAGAAACATAAAAGAAGAAGAAGATTTTTCATAACCACATACAATATGACCAAAACCTTATGATCTAAGACCAAAACATTATTATTCTCCTATCATCTGAAAGCTTCCTCGTTTATTCAAAATACTAGAAATGACCAACTACAGCAGAGAAATTCCAGATCGATCAACGAACCAAAATGTTGAATACGTTCCATCCAAATTCAATATCCACACCTTTGATGCAGAAATTTTGGAACATAAGCTGCTGTTCCAAGTAATCAAAATGCAGGACTCCTTGTTGTTCTACATCAATGATAAGGATCAACTGAAATTCAGCGACATATCTCTTGCTTTGAAAAGCAGGTATGATAGCTCACCTTTGGGTACAAGACTGATAGGAGATTTCACTGATGAGATTTCCAAGAATATCGCCATCAGGTTATCTAAAAAGACAGATAAGGCAGTGTTTTTGAGCTTCAATGTTGACCATGATGGAAGGTTCAGTCCCTTGGTAGAAAAAAGGATATATGAAGAGATGAAAAATTACCCTGTTATGTTCTAACTGAAATAAATTCTATTGCTTTTTATAAAATTGATCTTGATTTTGTAGTAATATGTAGGTATGTAGGTTGGTGGAAAGGTGATGATACACCATTGTACCATATACCAAACTATTTATTAGAATGACTACACATGGACATGGCTCCATGTGCTGAATCTGAACCTGAAGTCTGCAAGTATACAGCCCTTTCAGTTTCCTTGATGATCATTCTAATTTCAAGTAGGTATTGGTTCAATCCATCTTAATATTGACAGTACTATAAGGGAAGGAAAGTGTTTCAAAAATTGCAACTTTTTTCAATTCAAGCTGCGAATAGCTGTGCTTCTAGTTCTAAGTATTCCACCCTGTATAGAAAATTTGAAGGTCCTATGATAAAGTTTTTGAAGAGAAAGAAACAAAGTTTTGAACTTTCACAAATTTTGCAAGGCTTCAGAATGAACTGAAAACTTGTATATGTTCTCAACTAGGTTCCCCACAGGCTGAACATGATGATAACTTCGATTTTCTTCTAAGTTTTTCAGATGTAATGCATTTTTAGGAAAAAAAAATATGTCATTCAAAATCTCAGAAATTGTCTCAACACTCGAATTCGTCTGCAAAACACTTCCATCAACTCGATTTTGCATTCACTTCATAGATTCGGAGTGCATAAAAAATTTGGTCGGAAAGGCGTCAAGAATCGATTTTTTTCTAAATTAAGGGCTAGAGGGCCGTGCTTCTACTCCGCACTAGGGCACCCCTAAAAGGTCCCAAATACCGAATTTGAAGGCCCTACGACAAAGTTGATTTTTGGGTCTGAAAAAGAAACAATAAGGTTAACCCCTTTGAACATTTTCAGATTTTTTGGCAGGCCTCAGAATGAGCTGAAAACTTCTATACAGGATGTTCTCGACGTGCTTAACACGAATATGACTTCGATTTTTCCATAACTTCATTAGTTTTCCATAAATAAGCATTTTTAGGAAAACAAAAATATCGTTCAAAAATCTCAGGACTCGTCTCAACACACTCGAATTCGTCTGCAAAACACTTCCATCAACTCGATTTTGCATTCATTTCGGAGATTTGGAGTGCATAAAAAATTTGGTCGGAAAGGTGTCGAAAATCGATTTTTTTCCAAATTAAGGGCTAGAGGGCCGTGCTTCTACTCCACACTAGGGCACCCCTAAAGGGTCCTAAATACCGAATTTGAAGGCCCTACGACAAAGTTGATTTTTGAGTCTGAAAATGAAACAAGGTTAACCCCTTTGAACATTTTCAGATTTTTGGCATGCCTCAGAATGAGCTGAAAACTTGTATACAGGATGTTCTCGACGTGCTAAACACGAATTTAACTTCGATTTTTCCATAACTTCATTAGTTTTCCATAAATAAGCATTTTTAGGAAATCAAAAATATCGTTCAAAAATCTCAGAAATCGTCTCAACACACTCGAATTCGTCTGCAAAACACGTCCATCAACTCGATTTTGCATTCATCTCGGAGATTTGGAGTGCATAAAAAATTTGGTCGGAAAGGTGTCGAAAATCGATTTTTTTCTAAATTAAGGGCTAGAGGGCCGTGCTTCTAATCCGCACTAGGGCACTCCTAAAGGGTCCTAAATACCAAATTTGAAGGCCCTACGACAAAGTTGATTTTTGGGTCTGAAAAAGAAACAAGGTTAACCCCTTTGAACATTTTCAGATTTTTTGCAGACCTAGGAATGAGCTGAAAACTTGTATACAGGATGTTCTCGACGTGCTAAACACGAATTCAACTTCGATTTTCTCGTAACTTCATTAGTTTTCTAGATATAAGCATTTTTAGGGAACAAAAATGTCGTTCGAAATCGCCGAAATCGTCTCATAACCACTCAAAACCATCGATTTCGTCTGCAAAACACTTCCATCAACTCGATTTTGCCTTCATTTTAGAGATTTGGAGTGAATAAAAAATTTGGTCGAAAAGGTGTCAAAATCGATTTTTTTCTGAATTAAGGGCTAGTGGGCCGTGCTTCTACTCCGCACTAGGGCACCCCTAAAGGGTCCTAAATACCGAATTTGAAGGCCCTACGACAAAGTTGATTTTTGGGTATGAAAATGAAACAAGGTTAACCCCTTTGTACTTTTTCAAATTTTTGGCATGCCTCAGAATGGACTGAAAATTTGTATACAGGATGTTCTCGACGTGCTAAACACGAATATATCTTCGATTTTTCAATAGCTCCATTAGTTTTCCATAAATAAGCATTTTCAGGAAATCAAAAATATCGTCAAAAAATCTCAGAAATCGTCTCAACACACTCGAATTCGTCTGCGAAACACTTCCATCAACTCGATTTTGCATTCATTTCAGAGATTTGGAGTGCATAAAAAATTTGGTCCGGAAGGTGTCAAAAATCGATTTTTTTCTAAATTGAGGGCTAGAGGGCCGTGCTTTTACTCCGCACTAGGGCACCCCTAAAGGGTCCTAAATACCGAATTTGAAGGCCCTACGACAAAGTTGATTTTTTGGTCTGAAAATGAAACAAGGTTAACCCCTTTGAACTTTTTCAGATTTTTAGCATGCCTCAGAAAGAGCTGAAAATTTGTATACAGGATGTTCTCGACGTGCTCAACACGAATATGACTTCGATTTTTTCATAGCTTCATTAGTTTTTCATAAATGAGCATTTTTAGGAAAGCAAAAATATCGTTCAAAAATCTCAGAAATCGTCTCAACACACTCGATTTCGTCTGCAAAACCCTTCCATCTACTCGATTTTGCATTCATTTCGGAGATTTGGAGTGCATAAAAAATTTGGTCGGAAAGGTGTCGAAAATCGTTTTTTTTTTTCAAAATTAAGGGCTAGAGGGCCGTGCTTCTACTCCGCACTAGGGCACCCCTAAAGGGTCCTAAATACCGAATTTGAAGGCCCAACGAAAGTTGATTTTTGGGTCTGAAAATGAAGCAAGGTTAACCCCTTTGAACATTTTTTGATTTTTGACAGGCCTCAGAATGAGCTGAAAATTTGTATACAGGATGTTCTCGACGTGCTAAACACGAATTCAACTTCGATTTTTTCCATAACTCCATTAGTTTTCCATAAATGAGCATTTTTAGGAAAGCAAAAATAGCGTTTAAAAATCTCAGAAATCGTCTCAACACACTCGAATTCGTCTGCGAAACACTTCCATCAACTCGATTTTGCATTCATTTCAGAGATTTGGAGTGCATAAAAAATTTGGTCCGGAAGGTGTCAAAAATCGATTTTTTTCTAAATTGAGGGCTAGAGGGCCGTGCTTTTACTCCGCACTAGGGCACCCCTAAAGGGTCCTAAATACCGAATTTGAAGGCCCTACGACAAAGTTGATTTTTTGGTCTGAAAATGAAACAAGGTTAACCCCTTTGAACTTTTTCAGATTTTTAGCATGCCTCAGAAAGAGCTGAAAATTTGTATACAGGATGTTCTCGACGTGCTCAACACGAATATGACTTCGATTTTTTCATAGCTTCATTAGTTTTTCATAAATGAGCATTTTTAGGAAAGCAAAAATATCGTTCAAAAATCTCAGAAATCGTCTCAACACACTCGATTTCGTCTGCAAAACCCTTCCATCTACTCAATTTTGCATTCATTTCGGAGATTTGGAGTGCATAAAAAATTTGGTCGGAAAGGTGTCGAAAATCGTTTTTTTTTTCAAAATTAAGGGCTAGAGGGCCGTGCTTCTACTCCGCACTAGGGCACCCCTAAAGGGTCCTAAATACCGAATTTGAAGGCCCAACGAAAGTTGATTTTTGGGTCTGAAAATGAAGCAAGGTTAACCCCTTTGAACATTTTTTGATTTTTGACAGGCCTCAGAATGAGCTGAAAATTTGTATACAGGATGTTCTCGACGTGCTAAACACGTATTCAACTTCGATTTTTTCCATAACTCCATTAGTTTTCCATAAATGAGCATTTTTAGGAAAGCAAAAATATCGTTCAAAAATCTCAGAAATCGTCTCAACACACTCGATTTCGTCTGCAAAACCCTTCCATCTACTCGATTTTGCATTCATTTCGGAGATTTGGAGTGCATAAAAAATTTGGTCGGAAAGGTGTCGAAAATCGTTTTTTTTTCAAAATTAAGGGCTAGAGGGCCGTGCTTCTACTCCGCACTAGGGCACCCCTAAAGGGTCCTAAATACCGAATTTGAAGGCCCAACGAAAGTTGATTTTTGGGTCTGAAAATGAAGCAAGGTTAACCCCTTTGAACATTTTTTGATTTTTGACAGGCCTCAGAATGAGCTGAAAATTTGTATACAGGATGTTCTCGACGTGCTAAACACGAATTCAACTTCGATTTTTTCCATAACTCCATTAGTTTTCCATAAATGAGCATTTTTAGGAAAGCAAAAATATCGTTCAAAAATCTCAGAAATCGTCTCAACACACTCGATTTCGTCTGCAAAACCCTTCCATCTACTCGATTTTGCATTCATTTCGGAGATTTGGAGTGCATAAAAAATTTGGTCGGAAAGGTGTCGAAAATCGTTTTTTTTTCAAAATTAAGGGCTAGAGGGCCGTGCTTCTACTCCGCACTAGGGCACCCCTAAAGGGTCCTAAATACCGAATTTGAAGGCCCAACGAAAGTTGATTTTTGGGTCTGAAAATGAAGCAAGGTTAACCCCTTTGAACATTTTTTGATTTTTGACAGGCCTCAGAATGAGCTGAAAATTTGCATACAGGATGTTCTCGACGTGCTAAACACGAATTTAACTTCGATTTTTTCATAACTTAATTCGTTTTCGATAAATAAGCATTTTTAGGAAAGCAAAAATATCGTTCAAAAATCTCAGAAATCGTCTCAACACACTCGAATTCGTCTGCAAAACACTTCCATCAACTCGATTTTGCATTCATTTCGGAGATTTGGAGTGCATAAAAAATTTGGTCGGAAAGACGTCAAAAATCGATTTTTTTCTAAATTAAGGGCTAGAGGGCCGTGCTTCTACTCCGCACTAGGGCACCCCTAAAGGGTCCTAAATACCGAATTTGAAGGCCCTACGACAAAGTTGATTTTTGAGGCTGAAAATGAAGCAAGGTTAACCCCTTTGAACAT